AGACCTCCCCCCTCAACACACACACACACACACACACACACACACGCACACACACACTTATCTAAATGAGGACTTCCCATCTACTTCTGTTGTTCTTAAATTAAGCTAATTATAATTACAATAGACTAACTGGGTCATATAATCTAAGAAAAGAAACTATAAAACTATATCAGTATTTGTATTTTATAACTAAAAAGGTGCAATTTACAATTAGAGACAACATAATTTATAAATGAATAATTGAATCAGACTTTTTGAATGGATTAATAGAAATAGGCTGTTTGAAATGATTTGTGGAAATGAATCAAACTTACGTATTTTAACTAATTGTATTTAGTATTTTGTTATTTATTTTAATTGTTTAATGTTATTGTATGTTCTTTATTTTAAATTTTTTAATTTTTTAATTTTTTTAATAAAAATGCCTTTATTTTTCATCACACATTACTCTTTTTTTGTGAACCATTTCACTCAGACGAACAATCTCAAAAAACGGAGCATTTCCCTGATTCAGTTCACTGCGCAGAAGTTGTATTTTGTATTGTTTTTTAAAGATTTAGTTAAATATATATTTATTATATTTACATTAATTTATTTTTAATAGATATACTTCTTTTTTTGAGCAATAATAAGATAATAAAATCCTCTCAGCAGTTGCTTTCAATCACTGCGCAGAAGTCTGTTGCATTTTGCTGTTTTTTTTTGTGATGCATTTAATATAATTTAATTAAATGTATTTTTATTTTACTTTATTATTTTATAATTTAAAAAAAAAAAATTTATATTGTATATTCAGTGTTACTAATGCTAATAACACAACAAAACTATTGTTATTAATAAGAATAACTCAACCTAGATTTGATTGGGGTATACATTTATGATGTTCCTGATGTTGTTGTCTTCTGACAGGACCAGGTTGCCAAAGACAAAGTCATGCAGAGTATGTCCACCATGTCTTCAGCTCAGATCATCTCAGCCACAGCCTTTCAGAATAAGATGGCTCTGCAGGGCCTCTCGCGGCCGACCTACCCGACCGCTGCTGGGGTGAACTCTAACATTCACTTATGATTAGGGATGTAACGATTCACTCAACTCACGATTTCATTCGATTCACGATTTTTTTTAACAAAATGAGATTTAAGACAAATTATAAATTAAATGTGTCCTTTTATTATTGCTTGGACAAAATACTGTACGTTTCTTTGTGAAATTGAAATATAACACTATAATAATATACTAATATAGCACTTGTATATTATTGCTCTTTTGTTGGTTTTGATTGCTTCTATTGTCCTCATTTGTAAGTCGCTTTGGACAAAAGCGTCTGCTAAATGACAAAATTTAAATATAATGTAAATGTAAATAACAAAACTAAATAGAAATTTTAAAACAAGCCCCAAATCAAATAAATAACACAAATAAAATAAATCTCTTCATATAAAAAAATAAGGCTTTGTCTGTGCTCTTTCCATTTAAAATTAGAGGCAACCACTGCATTTTAATCATGATCCAAACAAAGATGCTGCATACATGCAACATGAGCAGTTTTTAATCTAAATTACATTGTATAATTTCTAAATTTGAAGCAAAAACAGAATGGTTTGACTTCAGTTTTGTGAAACTATACATAAAAAATATCTGCATGAAACAGAAACAGCAGACGAGCTGAACGAGACGCAGATTCACTCTCTGCCAGCAGGTGGCGCTTAAAGCGTTTCCTTGGTTACCGCTGTAAACAAAGCAGAGCTGC